GACAATTGCGCGGTCATGTAATATTGTACCCATATGACATTTTTATCATTTTTTTCACACAAATAGAGCTTTCTTTTAGTGGTATTTAATCGCCACTGCGTGTTTTATTTTTTACGCTATAAACAAAAAAAGAAATTGAAAAAAAAAAAAGGTTTTCTTTGTTTCTATTATAAAATTTAGCAAATAGCACTGATGGGCACTGATGAGGTGGCAAAGATAGGCAGCACTGATGAGCTGGCTATGATGATGCTGCACTGATAGGCAACACTGATGGGTGGCACTGCTGAGCACTGTTGGGCAGCACTGATGGGTGGCACTGCTAGACACAGGTGGGTGGCACTGCTAGGTACAGGGGGTGGCACTGATGGGGGGCACTGCTAGACACAGGTGGGTAGCACTGCAGGGCACAGGTGGGTGGCACTGATGGGGGTACTGCTGGATACAGGTGGGTGGCACTGCAGGGCACAGGTGGGTGGCACTGATGGGGGGTACTGCTGGGCACATATGGGTGGCACTGATGGGTACAGGTGGGTGGCACAGGTGGGCAGCACTTTCTGGCACTGATCATCTGTGCCCTGATGATCAGTGCCGATCACTTCTCTGACGATTGCTGGTTATCGGAAAGTGCAGCCGATAACAGGCAACTGTATTTACCAGTGATCTGCTGTGTCATTGGACACATCTGATCACATGGTAAAAGGCCGCCGTGATTCGCCGTTTACCGTATCACATGATCAGCTGTGTCCCTAGGACACAGCGATCAATGGCAGCGCCGGGTGCACGCTGCTGCGGGCGTGTTCTGGAATGACATCCATGGACATTGTCCCAGAACCAGACAACCACACTGTAACCCGTCCTTCGGCTATAGCTCGGTGGGGAACTGGTTAAACAAAAAAATACCACATTTGACCTCTAGAATTTCCTATGATACTTAGCTCCATCTAATGGCCAAATGTGGTCATTTTCTTTTAACCACTTCAACTCCAGAAGGTTTTTACCCCCTTCATGACCAGGCCATATTTTGCTGTTTAGCACTGTGCTACTTTAACTGGTAAATGCGCAGTCATGTAACACAGTACTCAAGTGAAATTTATATAATTGGTTTCACACAAATGGAGCTTTCTTTTGGTGGTATTTTATCACCACTGGGGTTTTTTGTTTACATATAAATGAAAAAAAGACCAAAAAGTTTGGGAGAAATATTTTTTACTTTCTGCTATAAAACATATCCAATTTTTATTTTTTTTTTTTAATCAAACATGTTGGTCAGATGTATTTGGCTACATGTCTTTGGTAGAAAAAAATCTCAATAAGTGTATATTGATTGGTTTGCATGAAAGTTATAACATCTACAAACTATGGTATAGAAATGTTTTTCTATATACTAATGGCGATGATCAAAAACGTATAATGAAACTGCGATAGTGCCGTGGCTAATCTGACGCTGGGTGGGAACTGACTAACTGCCACTCACATCACTAATACAGTGATCAGCAGTGGGTAATTTATTTTATTTATTTCAGGTACTTCTATAGTGCTGTCAATTTATGCAGTGCTTTACATATATATATTGTACAGTCACATCAGTCCCTAACCCTCAAGGAGCTTACAATCTAAGGTCCCTAACTCACATTCATACATACACATACTAGGGTCAATTTACACCTGGTTCACATATATGCTTCCGTGTGGGCCACGTTTTGTGTGGGCACCCAAGCCCATACATTTGAATGGATTCCCATGCCCGTGACACGCAGGGAAAAGTCCCTGCACTTCTTCTGAAAGTGCAGCCTGAACAGGAACCTCGGTTCCCAGTATGGTTGCGTTTTCCAGTGTGGGCGGTGTGCCATTAGAGCTAATGGCACCCACCCGCAGGTTCGCATTTCTTTGTGTGGGTGGTGCGGCCGCGCACAGATGTGAACCTAGACTTAGACAGGAGCCAATTAACCTACCAGCATGTCTTTGGAGTGTGGGAGGAAACTGGAGTACCCAGAAGAAACCCACACAGGCACAGGGAGAACATGCAAACTCCAGGAAGATGGTGCTGTGGTTGTGATTCGAACCAATGACCCTAGTACTGCCAGGTTGAAGTGCTAACCATTTAGACACTGTGCTGCCCATGAATATTACACCGTGTTCCAAATTATTATGCAAATTATATTTTTCTCATTTACCTAAATAATTGATGTAAATAACAGTCAGCATAATTCTCATGTTATCAACTATTAAGAGTACAATTCAAATTTTATATTGAACAAACCTCCTAATGATAACAGGATTTTTTTTAAATATAATAAACTTACAATGCACTGTTCCAAATTATTACGCACAGTAAGTTTCAAAACACTTTATAGGTTGTAAAGAACTGAAAATTGTCATTTGTTGTGTTTGCAGCATATTTACTGAAATCAAAAGCTATTTCAATCAAACTTTTAACAACAGTTTAACTTTTTAAACATTTTAACAGGTCACGTTACATTTTAACATAGGACCCCTTATTTGATAGCAGCTTCACAAGTCTTGCATCCATTGAACTTGTGAGTTTTTGGTCAGTTTCTGCTTGAATTTGTTTGCAAGATGTCAGAATAGCCTCCCATAGCTGCTGTTTGGATGTAAACTGCCTCCCATCCTCATAGATCTTTTGCTTGAGGATGCTCCAAAGGTTCTCAATAGGATTGAGGTCAGGGGAGGATGGAGGCCACACCATGACTTTCTCTCCTTTTATCCCCATAACAACCATTGAAGCAGAGGTATTCTTTGCAGCATGAGATGGTGCATTGTCATGCATGAAGATGATTTTTTTTACGGAAAGCATAGTTCTTCCTTCTGTACCAGGGAAGAAAGTGGTCAGTCATAAACTCCACATACTTTGCAGAGGTCATCTTTACACCTTCGGGGCCCCTAAAGGGGCCGACATGACTCCACCACCGCCTTGCTGACGTCGCAGCCTTGTTGGAACAGGGTGGCCGTCCACCAATCATCCACTACTCTATCCATCTGGACCATCTAGGGTTGCACGGCACTCATCAGTGAACAGGACTGTTTGAAAATTAGTCTTCATGTATTTTTCTGCCCAATGCAGCCATTTCTGCTTGTCAGCATTGGTTATTGGTGGCCGAATAGAAGGTTTATGCACAGTTGCAAGACTCTGGAGGACTCTACACCTTGATGTCCTTGGGACTCCAGAGGCACTGTCAGGGCTCCGGGGTGTGACCAGAGGTATGTGACTGACGCAGGGAAACGCAGGCTTCAGATATGTTATAAACAATAAGACAATTTATTAAAGACTAACAATACAAACATAAACGCAGTGCAATACTAAAACATAACACAGTGCAAACTAACCAAACCAAACCACCCACAGATAACAATATATACAATGCAAGCGTCGTCAGGCAGGCCGGGTCAATAACAATCGGGCAGGTAGGAACAGGGGTTCAGGCAGAGAATGGTCGAGGTCACAAGCCAGGGATGAAACAGGAGAAGTCAGCAGAGTTCCGGAATCAGGCAAGGTCAGCAACGAATCAGACAGGAACAGGAATGCAGGAACAAGATACAGGGCTCAGGAAAAACACACACCCAAGGCAGAGACTGCAGGTCTGGCCATCCCTTAAATACACCTGCATGATCAGTTTCAGATGTTTGGCTGGCTGCAGCGTTGAGTCTCTGATTGCCGGGAGCACCCGCTGGCCAGCCCTGGTACTGCAGCCCACAAGGCAGGTGAGTCCCACCATTACTGGCAAGTCCATTCCTGACAGTACCCCCCCCTCAAGGAGCGGCCTCAGGACGCTCCAAACAGTCCTAGCTGGGCGAAATGTTCCACCGCCCGGGTCTGGTAACTGGCGGGATATCAAAGACTGGCACATCGGGCAGGACTCCGGGCAGCGGCACACCGGGCAGAGGCACATCGAGCTGGACTCCGGCAGCGGCACATCGGGCAGGACTCCGGGCAGCAGGATATCGGGCAGGACTCCGGGCAGCGGCACATCGGGCAGGCAGGAGCGGCACATCGGGCAGGACTCGGGCAGCGGCACACCGGGCAGAGGCACATCGAGCTGGACTCCGGGCAGAGGCACATTGGGCAGGACTCCGGGCAGAGGCACATCGGGCAGGACTCCGGGCAGCGGCACATTGGGCAGGACTCCGGGCAGCGGCACATCGGGCAGGACTCCGGGCAGCGGCACATCGGGCAGGACTCCGGGCAGCGGCACATCGGGCAGGACTCCGGGCAGCGGCACATCGGCAGGACTCCGGGCAGAGGCACATCGAGCTGGACTCCGGGCAGAGGCACATCGAGCTGGACTCCGGGCAGAGGCACATCGAGCTGGACTCCGGGATCAGAGGTGGACATCGGGCAGCTGGGCCATCACCGGGCATCAGGCGGGGCGAGGGCGTCGGAGCCCCCAGGAGGGCGACAGGCACGGGCCCCCAGGCGGGGCGACGGGCATCGGGCCCCCAGGCGGAGCGGTGGGCACCGGGGCCCCCAGGAAGGGCGACAGGCATCGGGCCCCCAGGCGGGGCGACAGGCATCGGGCCCCCAGGCGGGGCGACGGGCATCGGGCCCCCAGGCGGAGCGGCGGGCACCGGGCCCCCAGGAGGGGCGACAGGCATCAGGGCCCCCAGGCGGGGCGACAGGCATCGGGCCCCCAGGCGGGGCGACAGGCATCGGGCCCCCAGGCAGAGCGGCGGGCACCAGGCCCCCAGGAGGGGCGACAGGCATCGGCCCCCCAGTGGGCACGACAGGCACGACAGGGCCCGAGTCGGCAGCGGCGGGCACATGGTCAGGGCCCCCAGGAGGTGCGACAGACGGGCCGGGTCCCCCAGGCATGGAGCGGGCACTGGGTCACCGGGTCATCACAGGCACCACCAACGGGCATCGGGTCACCAGGCATCAGGTCATTTGGCTCGCCAGTGGGCACCGCGTCATCTGGCAAGGCAGTGGGCACCGAGTCACCAGGCACGACAGTGGGCTCTGAGTCAACTGGCATGACCGCGGGCACTGGGTCATCAGGCATTGATCGTGGATCAGGCACCGAGTCATCTGGCCCGGGCACAGCGGGCAAGACCGGGTCACCAGTCATGGCGGAACAGCGGGCAGTCAACTGGGTCAGCGGGCATCGAGGCATGGCAAGATTGCACCGAGTCTGGCAAGACTGTGGGCACCGAGCGGGCGGAACTGCGGTCACCAGGTCAACTGACAGCGGGCACTGGTCGTCACCAGTTACAGCCCCGAGTCAACTGGCGGAACAGCGGGCAACCGAGTCAATGGCGGAACAGGGGCATCGAGAACTGGCGGAACAGCGGGCAGGAGTATAAGACTGGGGCTGTAACTGGGGCACCGAGGACTGGCGGAACAGCGGGCACCGAGTGGGCGGAAAGCAGGAATAGAGTCTTCTGGCAAGACTGCGGGCACCGAGTCGTCTGGCGGAACAGCAGGCACTGGGTCGTCTGGCGGAACAGCGGGCACCGAGTCGATCTGGCGGAACAGCGGGCACCGAGTCAACTGGCGGAACAGCGGGCAACCGAGTCAACTGGCGGAACAACGGGATCGAGTGTCTGGCAAGAACTGCGGCACCGAGTCAACTGGCGCAGGTTTGTAAATGGAATGGAGCAGCTGGAGACAGAGAAGAGCTGGAGGATGGAACAGGGGAGGGAACAGTTGCTACAGAGGGCTTCTTTACAGGGTTAAAGGCAGGATAGGTTGCAGCGAGTGGGAACAGGGTACTGACATGCGGTAGATAGCAGGGTATACTGGGCTGTAACTGGAGGTGCTGTTGGGAAAGCAGGAATAGAGCTTTGAAGAAATAGATTTGAAGCAGGACTGGGTTTTTGCAAGCTGACTGAGGCTGGGTGCAGCAAGTCTGACCATGTCTGCAGTATGGGTTGAACAAAGCTCAGCTTACACAAAGCCTGTCTGACCAAAGACTGCACTGCGTTTATACAATCCCTTAATACCTGTGGTGAACATGCAGCATAATGCTCCAAGAAGTAATCAACATCATCCTCTAATAACCATACCAGGGACTCTACCTGGTCTGCACTAAATGGCGGCAAAAATTCATCCCTGCATTCGGGGGTAACCAGATGAAACCAACTCAGCACAAACCTGAATCAATGGCTGCACCTCAGAGAATTCTGTGTCCTGATCTACTAGAACATGAGCGATCTGTATACATTCTAGCAGTTCATCCCTGGGATACTCCTTCAGAGTTTGATAAGCATACTCTCTGTCAACAAACACCAGCAGCGACAAATACACAACCTCATCAATATCCATCCTTCCCAGCAACAAGCCAAGATGGCTTCCCTGTGCAGCCACATCTGGTCAGGATTGGCCTTGGTGTAATGTCAGGGCTCCGGGGTGTGACCAGAGGTATGTGACTGACGCAGGGAAACGCAGGCTTCAGATATGTTATAAACAATAAGACAATTTATTAAAGACTAACAATACAAACATAAACGCAGTGCAATACTAAAACATAACACAGTGCAAACAAACCAAACCAAACCACCCACAGATAACAATATATACAATGCAAGCGTCGTCAGGCCGGGTCAATAACAATCGGGCAGGTAGGAACAGGGGGTCAGGCAGAGAATGGTCGGGGTCACAAGCCAGGGATGAAACAGGAGAAGTCAGCAGAGGTCCGGAATCAGGCAGGGTCAGCAACGAATCAGACAGGAACAGGAATGCAGGAACAAGATACAGGGCCCAGGAAAAACACACACCAAGGCAGAGACTGCAGGTCTGGCCATCCCTTAAATACACCTGCATGATCAGTTTCAGATGTTTGGCTGGCTGCAGGGTTGAGTCTCTGATTGCCGGGAGCACTCGCTGGCCAGCCCTGATACTGCAGCCCACAAGGCGAGTCCCACCATTACTGGCAAGTCCATTCCTGACAGGCACCAGCAGCTTCAAATATCTGTTTGCTGCTATGTAATGGTATTTTAGCAGCTGCTCTCTTGATCCGATGCATGGATCTGGCAGAAATCTTCCTCAATGTGCCTTTATCTGCACAAACCCGTTTGTGCTCTGAATCAGCCACAAATCTCTTAATAGTGCGATGATCACGCTTAAGTTTTTGTGAAATATCTAACGTTTTCATACCTCGTCCAAGGCATTGAACTATTTCACTCTTTTTGGCAGCAGAGAGATCCTTTTTCTTCCCCATATTGCTTGAAAATGGTGCTCTGCTTAATAATGTGGAACACCGTCCTTTAGTAGTTTTTCCTTAAATTGGGCTCACCGGCCAATCTAATTATCACAGGTGTCCGAGACACAATGCCATCCATGAGTTAAACTGAAAAACAAAATATTTAATCTTTGTGACACTTAAATAGAATTTGCATAATGAATTTGGAACACGGTGTATACACTGTCACTGTACTAATGACACTGGTTGGGAAGGGGTTAACATCTAGCGCAATCAAGGGGTTAAATGAATGCCTAACAATGTGTAATGTATGTAATGTGTGCTACTTTTACTAACAGAACTCTTTGTTTCTTATACCTGCTTTGTAAAGATTGTTCTCTCTGTACAGAGCCCTGGGTTGATTGTTAACACAAGGCTCTAGGCTGTGATTGGACACAGCCAGTCAGTAAGTTCGAGCCATGAACCATTGTCCGGGACATGCTGACAGACTCCTGCTGTGTATAATCGCAACAGGTGTCGGCAGGGGGGGCGCACATGTGCGCGCCCCGAACCCGGAAGAAAGCAGCAACGTACCAGTATGTCGCTTTGCCTGAACGGGCTACCTGTCTGCAGAACACTGCGGGGAGACGGTCCTTAAGTGGTTAAATCAATGAAAAACATTAAACTGGCACAGGAAATAGTCTAATAAAATTAGCTTTTTCCTCCATTTGCACAGAACAAACTTTTACTGTGAATCTATTGTTTAAATTCACCCCTTGGGGTGTTACTTCATAGATGATTTGCTATGAAATTGTCTGGAGGGAATGACAGAAAAGGAGCAGAGATTCAACTTGTAGCTGTTTTATTGTTTTCAGTATTGCACTGATCCATTGCGGAACCATTATGTATCAACATTTTATGATCACGATTTGCATTTAGGTACTTTCATTTGTAGTATATATGTGATGATTAATAATTTTGGCATTTTTAGTCTTTGATGCACAGGATTAACTTGGGGCTTGTGGGTCCCGATGCAAAAGTTGCCCACCCCCCCCCCCCCCCCCACTACCACCCGCCGCTTCCAACATACTCAAAGTTATTTCAGATTTTTATTTACATATTGAGAGGGTAATTCAAAAGATTTTGGAGAAGCTGCCCATATTTAGATATACCTCTCCAATTATTTTGAATACTTGTAAGCAGACCCCCGTGTAGAATGCAAAAACGCTTGCAAGAATATATTACAACCTTTTATTTCCATCCCCCCAGTGAAATCATTAAACTCTCTTCTCTTCCAGCATTCTTTTTCCTCCTCTCTCTCTTTCCTTCTTGCTCTCTATTCCTTCTCTCTTGCTGTCTCTAAATTCTCAAATTTGACTTCTATCTCAATCTCCCTTTCTGTCTTTCTCTTCCCCATGTCTCTCTTTTTCTCTTTCCATTTCTCTCTTTCTCCCCTTCTTTCTTTCCCTCTTTTTTCGTCTTTAATCTCACTCCATTAGTTCAGCGTCGGTTCACACCATAAACTGCATGATGATATACACAGTGACACTCTGCAGTTCCTGTGCAATTCACATGCAGTTCTGTGCAGTGTGATCTCAGCCCAATCATTTTGAATGGACAGAAATTGCTCCGCACCACAAGTAGTGCACTACTTTTTAAAATGCACTGCAACAAAAGTACCATGCGGTCTGGTGTGGGAAAACACATTGCACTTGCAACCTGTGTTTTGGGTGTCATTAAATTCTTACTGACACCCACTGCATGTCGCAAATGAAGTGTGTTTTGCATGCAATTCCTTAACAAGCATGGTGTGAACCAGCCCTGGTATCTTTAGGAGTTCATCTCTCTTTTTTATCTGTATACAAAAAATAAATAAAAGTTTGGCTTACTGCACACTGAGCCTGGGTTCACATATATGCGGTGCGGTACATCGCATGTGATTCGCAGTGGAACTGCACCGCATTCCTGTTCAAATCACATGTGATTTGTGTGCGGTGCAATTGGAGCCATACATTATGCAATGCTCTAATCGCACCGCACCAGCCCCAAAAAGGTGTAATGTGGTAGCACACAGATATTGTAGAGTTCCATTTTAAACTGTAACATTTCTAACAGTATTTGCTTGCAAAGTTTTCAGCTCACCCTCCCTCCCTTATTTCCTGTGAATAATGTGTACCGGTTCGTAGCTGGTATTTTTATCTGCAGCTGTTGTCCAAGGTTATTCTGCAGAGTTTAGAAAGCCAGTTGAAAGTAATAGAAAGTGAAAGAAGAAATATATACCTTGTGACGTAATCATTGGTATATACGCTTGGAAGACGTTTTTTATAACTCACTTAGCAGAGCATAAGCTGTCTGTTGGGTCAAAACAGCGCTGTTTTTAATAAATCATACGGAGTTCTCTGGTTTGCCAAAATTGCTACTACAGTAGGACCCTTTTTTTGGTCTGCACTAGAATCGGATCGCATGAGTATTCACACCTATGCGATCCGATTCTGCACATCACACCGCGTTTTGCGGACCGATTTCAGGGTGTTGTTAACATACACACCTGAAGCAGTTCGCATAAACGGGGTGCAATTCTGATGCGATGCGGAATTTGCACAGAAAACGCTGCAAATTTTGGACCGCATCAGTGTGAACCCAGGCTGAAGGACATTTCTATTACACATGCTCAAATAATACAGGCAGTCAGTGTCCTAACCATTTCCAGAACACTTTGCAGGCAAGACTGTAGTATCCATAATGTGAAAGTTAATGCTGCTGTCTGGTGAACAATCACCACAATAAAACATTTTACCTGTATGTACAGAATTTGGACTACAGAGCCTGTCGATTGGACTGACACAGGGAGACAAGCTCTCAGCCTCTGAACAGCAGCAACTCTTCCTGTTCTCTTTGCATCTTGTGTCCAGTTCTAGATAATAAATCACAGGGCATGTGAGGAGAGGGTTGCACTAAGGGAGATAATATATTTAATCGGACAAGGCTTCTTGACAGGATGACTAAGGGGTGGATGTTAACTCTTTTAGCAAAGTAGAAGGAAAACAGTACATTGTGATACACTGGAGGAATCTGCTTCTGCTTTAAAGAACAGGAGTTGTCAGGCAGTCCCCAGGGCCCCCTGGAGCAGAGGCCAGGTCACAACTGCAACGTCTGCAACCCCTGTTGTTACTCCAGTGCTTTGATGGTATTTTTGAATGTTCACTGGAAATAAAAAGTATACACACCCATGTTAAAATGTCAGGTTTCTGTGATGGTAAAAAATGAGACAAAGATAAATAATTTCAGAACTTTTTCCACCTTTAATGTAACCTATAAACTGAACAACAAACTGAAATCTTTTAGGTAGAGGGAAGTAAAAATAAAAAAAACTAATATAATATGGTTGCATAAGTGTGCACACCCTTAAACTAA